CTGCTGGTGCAGAACGACCCCTGTGTGTCTCCCAGCTGGGGCTGCAGGTGCAGAACGACCCCTGTGTGTCTCCCAGCTGGGGCCTCTGGTGCAGAATGACCCCTGTGTGTCTCCCAGCTGGGGCTGCTGGTGCAGAATGACCCGTGTGTGTCTCCCAGGTGGGACTGCTGGTGCAGAATGATCCCTGTGTGTCTCCAAGGTGGAGCTGCTCCTCAGCAGGGTCCTCTTATGTATGTGAAGTGATTTATGGGAAGCGCTGTATACAGTAAATGCAAGGAATTCTTCTTGTTAATCATGAGATTTTTTTTGCCATCAAGTTTCATAATCCAGATCCCATGTGCCCCACAGGGGCGATGAAGTGCCCGGCACCAGTGTGGGTCTAAGCAGGACTGGGGGGCGAATGGTGAACTGTGGGGGAGGGGGATGCCTCACTTCTTGCAGCGATGATCCATGTAGCCCTGTCCCCCAGACACTTGGGAGCCCCAAAATCACTCTCCTGCGAAGGGACACCCCACACTCAGACTGCCCCCCTCCCCGTGCCCACAGAGGACCGGACAGGACTCTCCAGCTGTGTGACCGCCCAGCTCTCCATCCCTTCCTTAAAGCCCAGATCAATAATCGATAATCGGGAATGACTGGCGTGCTCACCAAGGGAGAACATCCTCCCCTTCGTCTCTGGACTGTGGGAGGAAACCCAGGGGGCCATGCAAGCTCCACACACAAGGATCACCAGGCCTGGAATAGAAGACGGGTCTGTCTGTGGGAACGTGCAGGGTGTTACCTGGGGGCAGTTAATGAATAATTACCCTCAGGCTAATCTCAAGGCCCCTGGGCTGAACAGGGTGCTGCGGGGGGGCGTGTCTGAAGGAGGGGGGGTCAGCGTGTGCTCCATATAATTGCCAGGGAATCCCGACTCCGGCCTCATCGCTGATCTGCATCCACAGGGAATCATGAGGACTCTGGCTCTCCTCCTGCTGGCCGGCATCGCTGGTGAGTAACGAACCACGAATTCACTGAGAAGGGGTTAAAGAGGGACACTAGAAAATAATATTAACATCTGTGATGTATATATATAT